GGTCCGACAGACAGTAGTTCAAGAGTTTGGTTATCAATGGATCAGTTCGGGTGATACGCCATATAAGACGAGACAACAGTTGAACTGAAATAACTTTATTGCCAACGGGTTTGACGGGTGGGAGAGAGAGAGAGACTTTATTTTACATTCAAAATATGGCAATTTAAAAATAATAATAGATAAAGATGTTAAAAATAAAGTGCTATAGTATAATAAATAATTAAGATTACTTAATATTAATCAAGCATTTCCTGAAAACTCCTTAGCTTTTGAAGCAAAACACATTTAAACTATTTTTAAGAAAAACATATTTGCGTTAAAATACAATGATCAATTATTTGTTCAAATGTGTTCAGTCTATTTAAACTATATAAATTCTTACAATTAATTATTTTAATCCAATTAATTATTTATTTATTATTTAATAATTAATTGTTTATAATAAACCAAGTGTTTATGCAACAGTATAGTGTATTTGAGCATGAACATTTGTCACAAACTGTACTGTATATTGAATTTAAAACCATATGTTTTTTATGATGAATTAGTTTGACTGGTGTTCTGGAAAGTTACACATTTATGAAAATTGGTATTTAGTAAACAAATATTGTTTCAATTAAATCATAACAAAATAATTTTAATAATTCAATGACAATACATAGCATCATGTGTGTTTTGTTTATAAATAATTAAAACTACAAAAAACCACATCGTTGTATTTCAACGAAATGTCGAAAAATTTCAACAAAAAATTTTTTATTATATAATGTAATAACAAATTAAAGCCAAAAAACTCATTCATAAATAATTGCCAAAAAATAATGCAATAGTTTTCTAAAAAGTATAACAAATATAATTGAACTAAAACTAATAACTAATATAATAAATCATCTTGTTAAACCAGCAGTACCCAAACTTAACGTGATAAAACAAACCAAAAAATGTCAAACCAGTTGGCGGTAGCTTTTGTGGACATGGATGTGAACGTGGTGTCAATGATGGGCAACACTGGGAAACTGTTGCTCCGGGATCTGTCCGGGGCATTTGAATTCGGCACGATTAGCGCCCTAATGGGCTCCAGTGGGTCGGGCAAAACCACCTTGCTCAAGTGCCTGATGGGCAGCTCAAAGTACCGGTTCGGCGCCCGTACACAGGTCTATTGCAACCCAGAGTGTAAAATACGATCATGCTATATTAATCAGGACCAAAATGAGAGGTTACTACATGGGCTAACCGTACGCCAGGCCCTGACCTACGCGTCCCAATTGAAAAACAGTGGTCGCGATGCCAGTGGCGGCTCAGGTAGTGATCAGTCACCGGTGGTTCAAAAGTTTAGTCACAGTCGCCGTATACGGGAACTGATGGTCGAACTCATGATCCGTGATATTAAGGACAATCGTGTGGACAGGTGTAGTGGCGGTGAACTGAAACGGCTGATGATAGCCATGGAGTTGACATCGGTTTTGTTGCCAAACGTGATGTTTTTGGACGAACCCACCACTGGTTTGGACAGTAATGCCGCAGATATTGCAAGTGATTTTATCATCTTGTTTGTTTAAATTTATCTAGTTACTAGATTTTAATTATTTTAGCAAGTTGCTATTTAATAATATTTAGTAAACCTAACGATCTTAAGTATAATTAGTTATTGCAATTACTTTATTATCTATTATTTTTAAGTTTGTTTTAGTTAATTACTTTGTAATACCGGAGTAAATATTAGGCTTTACAGTAATCAGATAAGTTGTAGAAGTTAGGCTAGATTAAATTAATTAATCAATTAATAATTAATCATAATTAAAATAACAATTATAATCACGTTTGAATAAAGTTAATGTTTTAATTGTCAGGTGATCTCATGCTTGAAAACGTTGAGCCGTAAGCATAACATAGCGATTATAACATCCATACATCAGCCAAACAACGAGCTATTTATGCTTTTCGATAACGTCTATGTGTTGGCCAAACAGGGCGTCAACATATACTGGGGTCGACCGGACGGTCTGGCCATACACCTGCGCGAGTGCGGTATAACCACCGGCACCGCCGCCACCACAACCACCCCATCCATCACCAGCGCAGTAGATATCTGTGATAACGACACCGAACCGGACATACAGTTCCCAATAGAAGTGCTACTGAAATACTCGTCCAAAGCCGTGACCGCCGATGAACGGGTGCAACGTTTGGCGGCAAAAACCGGTCAACTCAGGCATGGGTTACGGCGACAGTGCGCTGAAGGGGCGATGAATTTGACGCCCGGTTTTACCAGAAATCGTAGCAAACGTTTCAATTTTCCCGACTTTTACCACCTGTTGTTACGACACTCGCTATACACCTACGTGTGTCAGTGGCGACCATTAGTGGCACAGATTGTTTTTTACATACTGTTCCTACTGTGCCTGACCTTTGCTTATAATAGAGATATTGGTAAAATAGATGGGTGCTCTGTGAATGGCACCCAGTTTAATCAAACATGCCAGGAGCTGGAACATAGCATGGGCATTATGGAACAGAATTTGTATCATCAGTATATCGCATCCGTGTCCATTTTTACACTACATACGGCCATTTCTACCTCGTTCTTCTTGAGCGAGATTAAAGTGTTTACATCCGAACACCAGAATAGTTAGTATAACTTATTTTTATAATTTTTATTTATGATTATATAGTGTTTTAATTTTATTTATGATTACTACAAATAATTTAATTAATACAATTATTTTAGTACCTTGATGTTATTTTAGAGGAATTCTTAAAGTATAATTATTCATAAATAATTTAATTTAATAGATTATGTTATTAACGTAACATGTACTATTTTTATATTACAGCATAAATAACAAATTTTAATTTACCAATCACAGAATGGTACGGCACGGGGTCGTACTACTGGGCCAAAACACTGGTCGAGCAAATACTATCGATAATATTTGCCTACATCTACACAATAATCATGTATATCATAAGCGGCCAGAAACAGGAGAGCTCCCGGTTTTATAAATACCTGTATATATCGCTCATGGCGTTCATGTGCTCGCAAACGCTCGGCTCAATAATCGGGCTCATTTGCCACCGGAACGCCCGACTGGCCCTATGCGTGGCCGTAGCCATCTATTACGGTTTTATAAATACCTGTATATATCGCTCATGGCGTTCATGTGCTCGCAAACGCTCGGCTCAATAATCGGGCTCATTTGCCACCGGAACGCCCGACTGGCCCTATGCGTGGCCGTAGCCATCTATTCCACCTTGCACTATTTCAACAATTTCATCGTGCCCACCAAGGACCTTTTTGAAATATTTCAAATCACCTCGGACTTTGTCTACGCTAAGTTTGAGTTCAACGCTAAACTATTGATCATGTACGGTTTTGGTCGGTGCCCCGAGGGCTCTACCGCCCACGTGCTAAACCAGTACTCGGTAGGGCCCGACTCGATGTACTGGCGCTACTGTGGGTACCTATTTTGCTCCTACCTGGTGTTAAAATGCTCCGAACTAACAGCCCTACTCATCAAGGCTAATAAGGTGTCGATCAATATGATGGTGTGTTGGCTCAAGGCCTGCGCAGGCCGGGGCCGGACCAAGAATGGCCAGTCTGTCCTAATTTTTGGTCCAGAGTTTCAACGGTTGAACAGCGATTGCACGGACACCGAGTGCGGCGGCGACGGTGACGGCACCGGTAGTGTTGAACCGATAGACAATAATAACCACAACTCGCTAGACATGGACACTAAGCCTGTAACCATCGATACCGTACCCGCGGGTGCAGCTGCGGCTCCGGTACGCTTCAAATCGGCCAATTTGATGATAGTATGGGCGGACCTGTCGTTTGAAATGCGTCCCAAACTGTGCCGCTGTCAACGGGGCGACGGCTCCGGACCGTTGATACTGGACGCCATCGCCGGCGCCATAGAGTACGGCACGTTGAACGGCCTGCTGGGCCCGAGCGGGTCGGGCAAAACGACCTTGATGCGGTGCCTGAACGGTCGCCAGAGTCGGCCCATGACCCCGGACTCCCTGGTCTACGTCAACCGTCAGGAGCCAGTGGTGGCCTGTTTTGTCACCCAAAACACCGCTGAGCACCTGCTGGAGGGCCTCACCGGTCGACAAACACTGGTCTACGCCTGGAAGTTGAAGAACAGTCGCCTGAGCCGTAAGGAGACGGATGTGTCGCTCAGGGCTGGTGTGGATGACCTGCTCCGGGAGCTGATGATCGGTAATATAGGCGATACGCTGGTCGAGCGGTGTTCGGGCGGTGAGCAGAAACGACTGGCCATCGCCACGGAGTTGACATCGCGCGTGAAGCCCAACATGTTGTGCATCGATGAGCCGACCAGCGGTCTGGACAGCGACGCGGCCGAAGTAGTGGTCAGGTGTCTGCGGGCGCTCACACGCCGGCACCGCATAGCCATCGTTGCGTCCATACATCAGCCAAACAACGAGCTGTTTCTCATGTTTGACACCATCAATGTGTTGGCCAAAGGCGGACACGTGGTCTACGCCGGTCCGCCCGATGGCCTGCGGGCCCGACTGGTTGAGTGCGACCTCCCGTGCGGCTCAGGGGAGGCCCCCATCGAGAAAGTGCTAAAACACTCGGCACAGGGAGTGACGGGTAGTCCCGCGATAGACCGTATGCGGCGAAAAGCGGCTGAACTCAGGGATCAGTTGGTGAAACAGTGTCATCAGATGAGCGCCGATATGGAGCTGATGCCGTCGGGCGCCGGCCTCCCCACCCGTGCCAAGTGGTTCACTGTCATTGACTTTTGGTACCTATTGGTGCGGACAATGCGGATCGCATACCTGTCCCAATGGAAAGCCCTGGTCATCCAGTTTTGTGTCTGCATTTTCATAGCGTTGCCATTTTCGCGATCACTCAATGAGGATATGGTTGTGCCCGACAGCTGTTTGGCCACTAATATGACCGCCGATTTGCTTGAGTGCGCCGACAGTGGCCTGTATTTGGAGAGTCAGGCCCTGATCTCCCAGAATATCAAGTACAATATAGTGTTTATGACCTTGGTCACCTACCTCCAGATTGTCATTACGCCCCTCACATTCACATCAGATGTCAATATTTTTATTAATGAACAGAGAAATGGTTTGTAATTTATAATTATGTTTGTTTTGCCAAATTATAATAGCTAGCTAAAACATACAACTGTATGACAATTTAAACTACATAAAAATTATTCATTGCTCATGTTTTGTAATGTTGTACCATGCTTTAATTATACAGTATGTAGTGGTTTACTATTTAATTAAGTTAATATATTTGATAATAATTTAGCTTAAAAGTTAGTTTAACTAATAGCTAAAAAATTAATCTACAATGTCGTAGGCTGGTACAGTTCAGGCGCATACTACTGGGCAAAATCCACCGTGGACATATGCCCGGTGCTGGTCACACTACTACCATTCATCGGCATCATGAACAAATACAAATCGTGGTCAAAGTTCGGCGCCTACTACGGCTTCCTATCGATATCTACCCTATGCTCTCAATCCGTTGGTCACATCGCCGGCATCGTATTCAGCCAGGACAGCAAAATGGCCCTGGTACTATCGTTCGGCATACACTATTCCATGATGATACTGGGCAACTGTATCATCCCGGTCAAAGAGTTTCACCGCTACATCCAATACATTAGCCACGTGTCCTACATCAAGCACGCGTTCGAGAGCA